CTGATTTGATCTTTCTACTAAAACACCAACATCTTGCCCTTCCTTACTATCTTACCTTTCTTTAAAGTCTGGCTTATCACCTGCATGGAAATGCAGAGCCACGCACAGTTTTTGGTGGGTCAGAGTCAACACTTGTCAGCAGTTGCTCAGATGCAGGTTAAGGAACAGCATCCAGCACGGATCCTCCTCCCAGGCATCAAGACTGGTATGCAGATGACCACACAGAGAAAGCTTGTTCAGGTAGCTGAAAATCCACCCGGAAAGCTGAATTTCAGCCAGATCAGCTTCCTAAATTGGCCCACAGTTGGCACATCGGCACTAACACGAGTCTCTGCCACAGAGATATGCCAGAGCAGATTGATCTACAACAACAGAAACCCTTTTGGTCCACGTGGTTTATACCTGCAGAGGGAGTCTGCTCCTTTACAGGAGGTTTTGTCAGCTTAGCTATCAACAGCAAACTCATTCTGCTATAGCCAGGGCTTGAATCACTGTCACAGGATACAACTTCCCCACTGCTTGTGGCATGCCGGCAGCTGGCCAACATGCAGTGATTCAGCACTCGCCAATGGCTCACACAAGTTGGTTTTTTTTTTTTCCTCTCCTCTCCCCTCTGAATGTAAGTCCACAGGCTCAAGTGATGCCATGGGGAAAAAGGGGCTGGAAACAGGAATTGTTTTAAGCGGTTTTCCAACCCTGTGCTATCTTCAAAAGCCAGGCAACATGTGTGTGGAAAAAGGCAAGCAGACTTTTTTGTTCTTGATTTATTTATTATTATCCAAATGGGAGGGGAGAGGATAAAGCACCGGGAAAAACACATCCCTCCTGCTTTCTAAACTCTCTATATATCCCTTCTGTGGCTCCCTCTTTAAATTCCAGTGCTCTGAAACCTCAACATTAAAACAGCAACAAGAGGTACAGTCCCTATTCTAGGATTTCTTTGACTTGCATGTCACTGTCAAACTGTCAGACATAAAAGAACCACTTTGGTTCACCGTCTCTAAAGTTTTGCTTGTATTTTCACCTTAGGAAACACATCCATTTAGACCCTGGAGACAAAGCTGACCAAAAGTTTCACTGAGCTGAACTAACCCATGAATAAGGTGGCAAAGCACAATTTATTTCTGAGGTAGCACGAGAGTAAAAAACACACCACAATCCACTGCATGGTCATAACGCAGCGGCAGACTCGCATAAAACCCCTGTAAACAGGCAGGCTGTAAATTCCACTAGTTGTCTCTCTCAAGGTGACCTGCTCATCACTACAGATAAAACCTGACAGATTTGCCGGAGTTTAAGCCCTCCCAAGACACATCACTCATTTCACTGTTAAAGTCCTACTTCAAATGTGCAGCCAGCACTACAATAAAGTTTGGAAGCCCCAGAATTTGGGGGGAAGAGACAAGATGGTTTCTACAGGAAGCTTAGGTTTGCATCTGCTGATTTTGTGTCCGCTCTCTTGTCCTTAGCTGCAGAGTAAGTGCAAAGAAGAATTCGTAGAGATTGACACCAAATACACACATGTGCACGCCCCCATGCAATTTTCCCTTGCACTTCAAAGCTGCCCTTTCTTTTTAAAGTTCAAAAAACCACTCAAAAAAAAAAAATCATTGAAGCTTGCATGAAAGTGGTGATTTCTCCCCAAATTAGAGGGAAAAATCCACACAGCCAGCACTGCAAAACAAAGCACCTTGTGAACAGGAACACAGGCACACATCAGACAGGAACAAACTCTCCCACTCCTCCTCTACGTGCTGAGCTTAATTAGTCCTTCCAAATCATTGCAAGAATGTGATTAGGATCTCCTGGGAGCCAAAACACACTAATTCCTGTCTCTTTGCTCTTGCCTAATGCGATTAAAAGTAAGAACAAAAGTAGTAATTAGTGAGAAATAGGATGCATCCATCCGCTGCTGAAAACGATTGCTTTTAAAAACTGCTTAAAAACCTGGAACATCTCTCAGTGCAATTTAAGGCAAAAGGCATGCCTGCACACCCCCCCACCACAAGGGTATTGTTAGCGGTTTTATGCCCACGTTTAAATGAAGGAGAATTACAGCCCCCATGTCTCAGATAAAGGCAACTCCTGTAAATAATGCAAGCTGCTCCTCCGATTTAACATTCAGAAATCTAAAAAGACACGTTTCATTTTAGCATTTAATAAACACATCAAAAACCTTCAAAGAGGAAGCAGGGGACTGCTCTCCAGAGATTCTGCTTAGGAAGATGTCTGCATGACACAGGGCAGAGATCCCCAGGCCGCCAAAAGCATGGGGAACAGCACAAATGTGTCACTGTGCTGCTTTTCCCAGATTGAGCAGGAGAGTATTAGCCCCACAAAGCATCGTTCTGCAATGTCTCGCAGAAATCAGACCACAAAGGAAGTGAAACTGCCTCACTGAGAAGCACAGACAGAAACTTTTAGTGTTTTCCACATAGCCTAACCACAGATACACCCTCCAGAAATACCAACAACCTTCATCTGTCTTCAGGGACCATCACCAGGCATCAACAAAATTGGACAAGCAGTCCCAGCTGCTTAAATCAGGTTAGTAAATCCAGTGGACAGGGATTTGGCATTAAGACACACTGCTTCTCAGAGATGGCAGTGATGAAATTCAGAAAACACAGTATCTGTTTTAGCTTTCAACACTGCAAAAGTTGAATCGAGTAAACCAGAAGCCTTCTCAGTAGAAAAAGCCAGCAGCATCTCCTGAACAGATCAATTTAAAGGTAAAGATAACTCACAGGATTGCACCTTCCCTGGTTTAGCCATCTCCCTGTTTTACAGCCTCACCGGTTACTGAAGCGTAACAGTGGCAGTCTGAGTGATCAGCTACAGCAGGGCATCCCAGAGACAGAAAGCATAGCATCAGTTTGAAAAATGCTCTTTTTAAATGACTTTGTAACTGTCCAAGCCTCCAGAAATAATTCCGAAACATTAATTCTGTTTGGGGGCGAAGCAAATAAGAGAAGTCTTTGAGTCTAACTCCTTAAAGAGCATGTGGATCACCATATATCCACCCACATCTCTCCATCAATGATTAGCAACTCTGGACACTTCACACTTAGGAAGGACAAAGCGGAAGGAAGACAAAGAGTCCACTGGAGAGACTAGTTTGGACAAGATAATTACAGGGATGCAATTAATCTTCTGTTTCTGGCCAATCAACTTTTCAACCCTCTCTGTCACCCTGCAAATTTGACTGCTCAACCAGCTAGAACATAATTTCATGGCAGGTTGCACGCCTCCCCGTTTGCTTTGCTTCTGTTTGAATCTTAGCCGTAGCCTTGTGGTACCGATCCTCAGAAGCGAGGGGAAGACAGAGAGAAAAGCAGGATTCCCCAGGGAGCATTTGTGGAGGTCTAACATTGGCTGTGATCACCGTCTTACTGTTTTGGAGTAGTTTTTCACCCGTTCTGAACTTGTCCTCTTAGGCAATTCTACTTTTAAATTTCAGTGAAAGAGCACACAGGGCCAAGGTTGACACTTTTGCAACACCTGCTTTATGTAACCAGAACTGAACTCACACATTGCAGGCTTCAGCAAGCAAAGTTCTCCAAGCATATGATAAGTGTCACAGAGTTATCTGACTGTTTTATCAATTGACATCTCAACTCTTGACAAAGATGAGTTTCAACAGCTTTTAGACCCAGCCTCTTCCCTGCTCCAGGGATAATCTCACCAGTGTTCTCAGCACTGCAAACCAGGAAGGAGACGAGGTAAGGTTAAACGCTTTTTAATCAGAGGCACGCTCCTTCTCTAAACATGAAGGTGGCACAAGGAATATAGTCCCAGGATGACAAGCCAGGTCACAGGGTGCAACCTCCTGCTATCAAATGCAACCACGTCTTACACTTAGACACTGGACAGTCAAGTTTCATCTTGAATTCAGTTGGAGTTTGGTCCCAACTACAGCTACTATAAGGCTACTCCAGTACTTACACCTCCCTTACACAACCAAGATTCCAACTGCCAGATTAAGCCCATCCAAGGCCAGTTCACTTCATAAGCTCTTGTGTCAACACTGCCTTCCCAAATTGATCTTGAGCCACTGCTGGCCTTTTCCCTCCCAAGCATTTTTACAGACAGCAATCACCTCACACCCAGTCTCTGAAAAAATATCATCAGTATTCTTCTCACAAATGGAACTACTTCTTCACAAGTTATTAAGCAGCCTATTTGTATCCCAGCTGCACCTGAACACCATGCTAGGAGATAAGACCTCACTGTCCCCACAGATTACGTAAACAGGGAGAGAATTTGGTCTAAGGATTTCAGGAACTTTACCAAAAAGGTAAAGCGAGAGAGAAGCGTTAAAAAGTCATGGCTTATTTTTGTAATTCACCGTGCAACTTCACATCTTTTGCTCTTTGACCAACTCTGAAAGTATCAGTTTAAGAACACACATCTGACTCTTACTAGGAACACTATCGAGGCTTTAAAACTGGTTTCCACCGTAGTACAGTGTAAGACCACATAAGCCTGGAAAGACAGCTTTCCAGCTGGACAGATGACAATACACGCCATGCCTGCTTGATCGCCAACACTTCGAGCTGCTGGTTGGTGACTAGCCAGCCAGCTGGCCTTGTCCTCAACCTTAGCATTCTGGCAGGCTCACAGATTTCCAGTTCAGAGATTAAAATTGAAGGGAGCTACTTCAAAGTGACACTGCTCTTTTCACCAGCCCCCACTGACAACCAGCCAGGCTACATTACACTGGTTCTCTTTCCCAACTGCCATCAAGCCTGTATCATTTAAGAGTGTGAAAAAAGCTGAAAGGGTCTTGTGTAGAGAACTATTTCCCCCAAGTTAAACTGTCCCTCGTAAAGCTTCACCAAGAAGAGCGATTAGCAACTAGCTTCTGTACAGCTATATCAGCATGGCATATACCAGAAAGAGCTTGACCTCAGTCTCAGCTGGATAGCAGAAGGTACAATCACTCTTAAAGTCAGAAATATCCAAAACATTCATGGGACACTTAAAGACATGCTACTTACAGCACCACAAGAGTTGGGGCCCCCGTTGAAGAGCGTACAGGCAATCCTCACTACTTCTGCTTCCATCTTCCTCAAACCAGGGAATATATCCGGATGGAGAGGATTACTCCAGGCAAACTCTTCATATACCTTCAGAAAACAAAGACAGAAAAAGTTAGCCTTGCAGATGGAGCACTGGATTATCAGTGCACATTTGAAAACTCACCATACCCACTGTATAAGCAAATTAGCTGCATTTAGCCATAACGATACTGCAGATCTCCTTGCACTTAACTCCTGTTGCAAGTAAATACCACAAGCTGGGAAGCTATGGCTGAGGGGTAAAAAAAAATATAATTTGTTTTTCTAGGGCATTCTGGCATCTGAAGTGATTCTATAACAGAGTAATATTTCTTGTTGCAAAGACAAGAAATTATTTAGCTATTTTTTTAAACAAAGAACACAATATGCACCCTACAAGTGCTTTACACAAAGCAGGCCAAAAAACTTACTTTGCAGAACTAGTTTTCAAGTTGAAAGGGGAACTCTGAAGCAGCTAGAAAAGCACAACTGCCCACCCACACCGCAACAAAAGTGGCCGTGGAAACCAGTATTTCATGCTCATTCTGCAACCGTGGGCTCACAGGATAAGGCTGGAACAGGCCAGTTCCGACCTCCTGCAGTTGAGCTTAAAATGCAACTGCAGGGACATTAAAAGAAATACAGAAGAATAAACCACCAAGCAATCAGCACAAACAGAGGGAATGTTTCCACAACACTCAACCCAAGCTGAGGCCCCTCTAGAAAGGCTGCTCTGAGCTTTCTGTTTCCCCAGAAGTGGCAAAGAAAACGTCAACACAGAAGAAAACAGCAATAGCAATCACCAGAGCTCATTACAGCTGTTATAAAAGCCATTCCCAGGAGCAAGAAGGCTAGACTTCCTTTTCTAGCAAAAAACACTTGAAGTAGATATATTTGAAGACAGACCTTTGGGCTGTTTAGGTTATTTTCCAACATTCTCAAAGGGAACAGTTCCTGAGTAGGTAAACAGACCTAACAAAGACACCACTGAAGCATGCCAATGCTCCATTGTTATAAGATTTGGACCACACAGTAATGCCAAAAAACATTTTACAAACTTCTTTTTTTGCTTAAACCAAGAGGTTCAGTTTTGCTCGGTGAAGCTGTTCCAGTCCAGAAGTCCCACAGTCACCCAGTAACAGGACAGCCATGGATGCTTTCAGTCCAGCCTGCAGCAAAGGCCCATCTCTTGAGGGTGGGCACTGCTGAAGCTGATCTGTGGCAATTTTATACCTCCTACCATTCCCTGAATTAGAAGGTCAGTACCAGCTTCCAGTTCATTTGTAACCAGCTTCTGTCTTTCTTACTCAAAACAACATCGCATCTGATTAGATCCCAGTTATCTCTACACATTGTTTTCGCAGGGACAGTCACTTGGCCAGCTTTACACTGCCTAAATGCTTTGCTAACAATTCCCCTTCCACCTACATTTACCCTAAGCTCTCTCTTCAAAATTGGGCAGCCTTAATTTCAGATCTTCCCTATTTATTTTGAAAGATGCTGGAACAGCGTTGAGAGGTTTCTGGTCACCCTGAAGACTTTAAGGAGATCTGCAAAGATGCAAAGTTAGACTGCTTGCCCGTTACCTTCACTAGCAGATGGGTGAGTTTCTCTTCACCACTGTATACAGTCCCAGAGACTTTCCCATCTTGCCAACGTACATCTCCTGAAAGAGAAGGAAGAGCACACTGCTTGCAAACACAGACATTCTCAGAAAGCATGTAGAAGTGCACAGAGAAGTCCCCTCACCACTTCTGCAGATGAAGAGTCAGCTTTTGAGATTTCACTGATGATGAACACGTACGATTTTTGTGCTACAGAAATAGCTCTGTGTGATGCTAAGCCTCTGGCATCGTGTATCCCGTGAACTTAGCAAATTGTAAGTAAATGACGACTAAAGTGTCAGCACATAAACAACATCTAGCTGCAGCAAGCAGTTATATTAATACGTAATCCACTTAATCTCCACTCAGTCTCCCCAAACTGCTGTCCAACCAACTGAACTCTAAAGTGGCTACAGTTAAGCCACTTCCAAAGAGCACCCATGACCAGTGTAAGCTGAAAAGAGGAGGCCACAGGAAAAGAAAAAAAAAGGAAAGAACCACCTGGTGAAGGAAGGAAATAATCAAAGGAAAACACAGATAGAAGCTACATAAGCAATACATAAAAGCTGAAAAGAAGGAAGTTGTTACAGAATACTCAACTGCAAAACTCTCTTTCTGAATTTGGAGTAGATGCACTGTTCTAGCAGAAAATTCAAGGCACTTCTCAAATTTGGGATAGGAGCAGGGCAGTCATATCTTCTCCTCTGGATAGCAAGTCACCAAAATTTGCTCATTAGGAGTAACAGGTACATAAACCAGGGTGGAGAAATTTACATGAGTGAGGCAACCTCAATTAAGTTTCAGACACGGCTTATGCGGACTCAGACCAGGAGAAGAACATCATCATGACTTTGCCTTCCTTAAATGGCCTTTTCAAGGTACAAACTATTATGACTTCAATTAAGACATCTTGGAAACTCCCTAAAAATTCTGCTTGGAGTTTTTTGTTTTCTTATTACGAGTATTCCCTGGGGCTTCACAGAACACACATTTCTGGTAAAAGCCAAACATCAAGCCAACTGCTCAGAAACAATCAAAAACGCACTCAAGTAACTTCCTTGATATTTCTCATCTCCTCAGCTCTCCCATCTAGAATTCTTGGAGCAGGAACGGAATTTCACCATAAATATCCAAATACAGTATTAGAAACGATCAATACTGACCTTGGTCACTTCCAGAAGGAAAACAGACAATGATTTGCAAGCAAAAAACATCAGGAAAGAAATATTTAAGACTAAACCATGAGCAGGAGTCATTAGAACTCATTTAAGAGAGTAAGTTTAATATTAGTCTATGAAACAGACCCACCTCTGCTGCAGTACAGACTCATTCATACCTTTTGAGCTGTACTCTTTCATCTTCTCTAGTACTTCAGGCTGGCTCATGCCTTGTTCCGGCAGCACTTTGATATAATCCTTTTCATCTTTCAGGAAGGATAAACTGGAAGTGACATCATTCAAGGCTTCATCAATCTTCTTTTGAATCTAAAGAGAAAGGAAAATCCTATCAGCAATGGCACTGGCCATATTATAAATTGTTGCATGCACGCAAGATTGAACTCACTAGCTACATCCATCCTACTGAGCAGAATAGATAGTAACTGTTTCAGCTCTATGACCAAAAAGCATAGCAGAGCTCAGAGCCACACAGTTCCTTCCTACCAACCTCTCTCTCCAAAACCAAGCTGCCTGGAATGGTGAAGTGGCAGACATGGGTCTCTAAAACCACAGTGGGAATTGTCTGTGGGAATGGTAGCTGGCACAGCCCAGGTAACTAATATGAGGGATGGCAAGCAGCACTTAGGCCGCTGCTCAGCTACACTTCATTTAATAGCACAGATATCACCACAACATTCAGACAGACTATGTTCTTTACTGGGTATCGATGAGCACTGGAAGCTTTGAGTCCCTTCCTTAACGCTTGAGAAAAAGCTCAAGGCAAAAATACTGCCTTTTAATCCACCAAACCTTTTTAAGTCACAGTTTTTAACTTGTGGAAGCCTTTAGATGTGTTCTATTTTGTATCTTGTCTCCTCTGCCACCATACACACAGTTTAGAAACTCATGAAAACAGAGAGAAGCAATAAAGAAATGTCCATTACAGACACAGTTAGGAGATTTCTCTCTTCCCACCCACACCTTACACTCAGCAGGCCCAGACTTCTTCTCACAACACATTCCAAAGTAGAGACTCTTCTTCCAGGCAAGACAGGTGTTGGGATATCATCAGCTTTAAAGACTTTTGGACATTGGAATGCCTCAAAGTCAAGGCCTCCTGTAAGCAACTGATAGGTTATCAGGTATCAGCCTACCAAAGAGCAGAAAGAGTACACAGACAGGACACACCAGGAGTCCTCTGGCACAGGAGAGCTGAACAGTGCTAGCCCTGAGAAGGTAAGTCTGGACAAAATAGGGATCATATACAAGGAGCCCACAAAGGATCCTCTTCTAACAGGCAAAGCAATATAAAGCAGAAGAGAACAAATAATTAATTCATCTAATCAAGGGCTACTCAAGTCAGAAGGTGAACAGACCTGACTCCCCCAATCAACATGCAAATATGCCAACACATCAAGCAGAAAGAAGCACAATTAAGTGTGATACCATCATTTACTAGGTAAAATAAACCAAGCTTTGCACTTCTCGATCATTAAGTCATTAACATGCTAAAACATGCTGACATTTGTAGTTTCCAGTTTTTATGCAAAAAACCCACATCCCCCAAATGCTCAAGCTTGTCTCATTTTAATGATTACACAAACTTCCGGTATCTTTGTGCTATACTGTTAACTATTGCTAATAGGTATCTCAGCTCTAAACTAATCGCAGCCAGTCATCTGATTAAAAAAATTATCTTCTATGTTGCACAACAAACACCTGGCTATCTCACACTTGCTCAAGAATAAGACATTGTTTCAGAAGAACAACTCAAGTTCAATCCTGTGTCCCCTTCTTCCATAAATAAAATTTTCTTAAAATCTAACAACGAGGAAATGTTATTGGAAAAATCCGTGCACATATTCACTGATTCTTGGTTTTAAAAAAGTGGCACCCTCATTTTATGAGAGTAATACTATGACAAAAAGACTGGGTAGAAATTACATCTTTCATTAAACCAGGTGACAGCAGAAGACCTTCCAGATCTATACCCTTGGATCATTACAATCACAGTAACATGACAACAAAGATGCACAGAACTAAGTTCTCAGTAAGCACTATGCAAGTTGAAACAAGGACTCGGGATAATATTAAGAAAAGTTGTTCAAATACTTACTATAGCCCCGACAATTGGCATTTTTCTCAGCAGTTTAAAGAACTGTTTTTTAGTTCGGGATGTTAAACCTGGAAGACAAAAGTCAGAAATTAACCTAAGATGACTCAAGAAGCAAAAATGGACTCGGAGCACAATACTTGTGATACAGCCCATGACACAGGTTCAGTATTTCTGATCCCAGCTCAAATAACAGTGACCAAGGGGACATGGTAAGACAGATAAACGTATCAAAGAGAAAGGCTCAGAAGTGGACCATGCTACAGAAATATCTGGCTTGCAGAACAGTAGCCATCTATGAGAATCAGTAATTTGACTTGTTTTCTTACTTACAAGGGAATTTGCACCCACATATGGAATTTTACAGGGAAGAGGGATTTGGGGATTTGCTAAAGGGAAGGTCTCCAGCAAAAAGGGAAAATAGTTTTTGAGATTATTTTCTGCCTTTTGGAACCGAATAGTACTGTAACACAACAACTCAGCAACGTGACACAGGCTCCCAGACCAAAGGAGGAAATAGTAGTTCAGCCATAACGTGACAAGGATTCACTCTGTGTCTGGCCATCTGATATAGCAAATGCATGATGCAACGGGAGGTGACTCAGGGGAAGGGGATGGACAGAGGGAAGAGCAGAAATTCCACCACAGCCCAAATACCGAAATGAGAAAAGCCACTACTGACAAACACCGGAAAACTCTTGGGGTAGCTCTAAAGGCAGGAATGAAAGCAGGATGACACAGATGCTTTATAGCCACCAAAAATGCCTTTTGATTCCTACAGGCATTTCAATCGAGTACCAGCAGCTACAGGACACTTACACCAAGAAATAACTAAAGCTTTAAAAATCAACCATTTTAGGACTTTGCAATTATCTACATTTTCCCTTCCACTTTATATATTTCGCTTCTGACATATTTTGAAAAGCTACATAAGGACAGTAACAGCAGTTTGGCCCATTCTCTAGCAAATACTCACTAACACTCTGACAATAACATTTCTATTACACATTTGAGTGTGCACACTGTTTCATTAACAAATTCCACAGTGAGAGAAGACTGCAAACTCCTGAAAAATTCAGACAATCTAATTGGATCTTATAACAGCTAGTCAATACTTTAAAAAAGCTGCAACAGTACAAATACCAGCCAGGAAGCTAACATAATCCCATACTGAGCAAAAGCTTCATAATATTTTGTTCCTTCCACAGATGTTCTCACTATCCAGCTACTCCCACCTTTCAAAAGAAAAAAGGCTGGTTGAGGAAGAGAGGCACAGAAGTAAACATCAAGTTAAACTTGGCTATTTTTAAACAAACTGCCACTGGAGCAGAACCCTAAGGCCTGCAGGAACTGAAAAGCACCATGTTGTCATCTGAGAGCAAGGTCATTATCTCTATCACAAAGAAAACTGCAGGTTCATCAAAAGAGATCCCACTGAAGAGATGCCAATATCAGAAACCACAAAAAACAGGAAGATGCACTGGAAAAAAAATCCACACACCACCAGCAATTATCTTGAATATCCTGAGGATGAAACACGTCTCCAACACCAAATCAAAACCACGTCTCCTCCCACAGCAGGAAGGGCAACAATCAAGAGCAAGAGATATCCAGATACTTTGGACCAGTGACTAGGTTCACAAGAACTCAGATAATTTCCCCAAGTTTTGGGCGAGAAGTGTTGTGACAAGTAAATGGTTTAGCCAAAAGCAAAAGGGAGACAAGAGGAAAGGAAGGAGATGCAGGCGTGTTCCAGGCTGGCCTTCTGCACCCTCTGAAGGAACGGGGGTGTCTCATTGATCAGACAGGACTTGACCTTAATTTGAAAGAAGGTTTTGTTAACACTCATCAACAGCAGAAAGTCTGTTCTAAGAAGCATTTGGCCTCGTTCCATTCTCTTTCCTTCCCTAGGAACAACTGTCTCCCCTCTCTTCCACCCAAACATAAGAAAATCCCCCATTTCAAATACTTACTCTCAGACTGGAAGAGGAAGCCATGCAGCCACACACTTAGAAGCGTAGAACAAAATGTCAAGCCAATGAGTTGCCAGGGTTCGAGTCCATCACACTGGGCATTCACAAAGCTCGTCACTTTCTCCCAATACATCTGGAGGATTTCCTTGTAGGGAATAACAGCATCCTGCGCAAAGGAAAACGAGAATGATATTGAGAAAAGTTCAAATGTACAGAAATAGGGCATCAAAAAGCCTAGGAGTCTATTGTCTATTAAAAAAGGTGCTTTTCAGTACGCAGCCCCCATGCTCTCTTTAATTCTTGTAAAGAGAACAGGTAGCAGATAGCCGTCATTCACTTCCAGTCGAGAGCCACCAGTAAAAACACACATCTTGAGAGACTTCAAATACCCAGACAGAAGTGCCAACGGCAGACGACCAAGATATGCAAGCTTCACAGTCCCAAGATCCATCACCAGATCTTACCACCGCCCAAGAGAAGCAACTGTGTTAATATTTTTTTCCCCAAGGAATTATCATGCAGCAAGTGAAGACTGAACTACTATAATACACCCACCAGAAAGGGGCCACCATTCATCAGGTACCACCAAAACAGGTCTATTAAGTACCTCAGGTTGGATTTTTAAAGAACACGCAAGTACTCTGCAACTCCTTAAGTTTAAGATCTAATTGGTAAATTCCATACAAAGGGAAGACAGAAGAGACAAGCACTCCTGCTGCCAAAATAAAAAAAAACCCAGAAAAAACTGTGATGCAATAACAATTACCATGTCAAACTAGCAATTATTGTCAGGACAGAGCCCAAGTACCTAACGAACAGCTTCAAAGCACACTCTTTTCAAGAGTCTCAGAAGAACAGGGTGGGGAAAACTGGATGTACACAAGGGAAAAAAGGCCATTTCCCCAAAACAGGGGTCTTCAGTACAATTCTCTGGAAAAAAGGTTTCTAGAGATAAGAAGAATCTAGGTAACCACACTGTTCGAAGCTATCACCAAAAATAAGTATTTAGGGGGGTTGTTGTATGTTACAGACAAGAGCTGCTACATTTTACTTCACCTTTTTAAAAGCTTTGTCAGCCAGCCCCAGAGCACTCTTCCAAACCCTTCTGCTGTTTTTAACCTAACACCAAGCCTAGTTTTGCTCAGTTTTGCTGGGGAGCTTTCTGAGGGGGATCTCCAGCACCACAAAGCTTCACCCTCCAAATGACAAAGAAAGTACATGGGGCCTTTCAAAAGATTTGCTAATAATGAATCAATGAATACATTCTTGATACCCAAGCTGTCATACTCTTGGTGGGGATAAAGAGACTTGCAAAGATGGATATAAATAAACCACTAAATTAAAAGTTGCTAAAACTTTCCTTCTCAGGACCCTTTACAGATTTCACTTCTGGGTCAAGCCCACAAAAAAAAATTAAATGCTGCTCCTAAGTCACCTTTAGGGGTAACGTGTCATTCCAATACAACTGGACAGGCTATAAACAGCCTAAAAAGCACCAAGTTCTTCCAAACAATCAATGGAGGTAGGCAGGATTCCTTACCAAAAAAGAACATCAATGAATATGCAACTACTTTGGAAAAGCAGTAAAAATACATATAAAGTGAGAGAGTTTAAAAATATTTAAGCAACCCCAACATAAAGCTGAAAAATTCCAGCAAAACAGTGCCAACCCATCGCAGAGCACTAAGATCACCCACTTTCAAGCACAGGCTGAAGGGACAGACTGAACTGGGCAAAACCAGGTCTCCTTGTAAGGAGTAGCACTCAGCTATGAGAAGTCAAATTAGCACCCATCCGCTTGGCAAAGGGCAATTTAAAAAAATACACCAGCTACTTCAGCCTTGAAAACAAGGTAGCCACGTAAACCACTGCAATTATGCAATGTCCTAGCTAATGCCCAGTCCTCCAATCCAGTCACCGCAAAGCTGATTTAATCCTAGAATTTAAGGGAAGAGCTACCTTTTTTCAACTAGAGGCAATACTTAAGTTTCATCGAGTTTGCACAATATTCTTTCAAAAAATCCCTGGAAAGGAGCATTTAACCAACAACGACAACTTTGGTTCATTGCCTAGGAGCTAACGCCAGGATATTACTCCATTTTGGAACTGCACTTAAAGGATGGAAACGGAGCCACTAATGTGCTGGTGTCTCAATAGCTGTTCTCAACCGATGGCAAGAAAACGCTGCGGCATTAAAGATAAGATAGAGTTGTGCTTTTTTTTCCTGAAGATGTAGGATACTGTAAGCCCAAAATCAAAATGGAATGTGACCTAGACAGAAGTCACTTAAGTCAATGCCCAAGTTAAAATAAAATAAATAAATCTGGCAAGAGACTGATGTCACTCTTGGAGAAAGCTCTGGACAAAAGACCTGAGCCAACTGCACATTCTGTTGTCAAATCACACACTTCCCACTGAAACCACTGCATCCTGCAGCACATCGGCTCTCCACTGGGACAGGAGGAAAAAATAAATCAGTTTTTCTAGACTTAATCACTACCAGTGGCAAATCTTGCATCCTATCACAAGGATAAGCAAACCCACCGGGAAGATTCTCTTACGCTCTCTTTTCCAAAAGCCCAAACCAGTGCTCTGGTCTGCAAATTGAGGCTGTTTGACTCTGAACTTCAGGTGATCCCAAGCAAAGCACTGAAGGGGCGACTGCGATGTGTAACACCGCAGGAACCCCAGCATGCTGCTGCACAAAACTCTGTTCTCAGCCACCATACCAGCAAAAAAGGCTCAGGTGCATAACAAAGACATCGGGACAAACGAGCACCATCCACCCTTCTGCTCTTAGCTTACCACATATACAAGGCACTGTGCCTCTGCCTCAGCTCACTTCCCTGTTACCAAGATGCAAGACAAAGCATTTTACCTTAAGTTTACCTCAAGCTAGAAGCATGCACGCCAGCACTGACATATGCTAACTCCGTGGTATGTCCGTCCACGTTTTGAACAAATAAAGATAAGGTTTTCACAATGTTAATTCTAAGCCACTGAAGAATTTCTTTCCCTTTGCTTTAAAAAAAAACACAATCTGAAATCACTTCACAAAGAATACAGTTTGACTGGGTAAAGTTTTTTCTTTATTTCTCACTTTCTTCAGTCATTCTGTACTTGGAAGAGTTTGAAGGATGAGATGGATCAATTTAGGAGGATACTAAAAAAGGGATTTAAAAAGTGGAAAAAATGGCATGGAAGACAAGTTAGCAATGAAATATAATTTCTCAGTTCCCTGGCTAACTACACGCTCAGTGTTTTTAAAGCATCTCTTTGCCCCAAAGTATTCAGCAAGATGTGAGACACCTCTACTTTCCAAATTACTAACTTAATCCTAGAGAAACTAAAGGGCATTTAGAAGGTTGCATTTGAATGTACCCTGTTTTATTACACCAAACACGTGATCGCAGCCTCACTGCTGCACCTCTACCCTGCTTCCTTATTTTACAGGGAGGAGGCAGGGGTAATAAATACCCTATGTTCAGCCAAGCCATTTGAATCCCTTCTCCTGCAGCTCTGGAGAAGCTGCTCATAACAGAGTAAAAAACAGGTGGATTTTTTTTTTAAATCAACCTCAGCCAAAAGAAACATTTGTCACCTGCAATAAGAAGGGATGCACTTTCAGCTTTGCAGGATTATAGCCTTCCTTCGCCCTTGCTATTACTGTTTCCCCAGCTGGGCTAAAGACAACAAGCTGGCCTGATTTTTAGCCCATCTACAAGACAGAATTTCATGTAAGACAATAACCCTCCTATTTGTGAAGGCATCAGAAAAATAAAGGTTTCCCTTCCCATTATAGGAGAGTAGATAAGTTGGTTTTATTTCCTTAAGAGAATCTTCCCTGCACAAAAGCTTCACAAGACACAGGATTATTTCAGAAGTAGTTTAAAAGCCCGATTTACGAGCACACTAAAAAGCATGGGGAAAAAAATCTCCACTGGAGGATTTGGTTTTAATTCTCAGAGCATTAAGACAGACTCGAGTATCAGACAAAATACTAATTGCTATCATTAGGACTTGCAGTCTTCATTTCTACCGATATTAATGCACTCAGCAAGCCAAGCAGTTTACATATTGAATTTTTAGCTCCACAGATTAGGAATACATCCTTAGTACTTTATTTCTAAAAGCCATTAGCTAGCTGAGTTGGTTCCAGGGATAGCACTTACACCACTACAAAAGAGGACAAATTAACTGCAGTAATGCTCTTCTGTCCCAGACGATGGAAAGGGGGGATGCTAAAGCTAACAAGAGCACATTTTGCAGTTTTGCCAGAACAGCATTTCTTCAGCTGTGAGTTTTAGGACTCAAATAAGTCTTCGTTGAAAAAAAAAAAGGAGAAACAGAAAGGCAATGAACTAGGGGGACCTCACACTTCTGCTACAAGTGCCTCCTGTTTCTGACACTAAAGTGGAAGCACCATTAAAGTTTACCTGTGGGAAGAGTAAAAAAAAAAAAAGGTTTTATCAGCAGAATCTTTCTTCCCCCAAGACAGCATTTAAAGTGGGCCACTGAATAACAGTAGCTTTTAAAGGCAAGTTTATTTTAAGCAATAGCATGAGTTTTAGATTCACTGTGCGAGCAGGAACTGCTAAGATAAAACCACATCCTCAACTTTCACCTGAATCCACACATTTTCCCAAACCAGGGACCCTCTGACCACCTTCCCTGTGCCCAAACCTCAACGCCTGCGTTTGCCATTTCTCTTTCCTCACTTCAACGGAGCCGATGAACAAGGCAGCGTGTCACACAACTCGGCACATAGTAAATTGAGGCAGATCGTTCGACAGCGACTACACAAGCTAGGACAACTCTGACGATAGTAACACATGTAAATACAGGTACGACACTATAATTAAGGCCTGTGCTCCTATACAACAAGTTTTTCCCAGGTGAAGGCTTCCTGACTGAAAATAAACCACACACAACCAGCAACAACACAGCAGCTTCATTCATTTACTCTGCTCCTAAGGAGGAAGACTTCAATTAGCCATGCCTTAGCTAACACCTGGTTGCCTATACAAGCTCTGGCCGCAAAAGGCACATCCGACCAGCGTAACTATGCAGCGTAACTGGCCTAGCTGCAGGGAAGTACTGGATTTGCAGCGTTCAGCCAGCCAGCTTCCGACAGGAAAGCCTGGGAAGGGGACTGAGCAATGCCAC